TTTTTTTTTAAATGTTCCATACGTCATACTTGAAATGTTTTAGCTTATAATATTAAAGAGCTGCCAACAGATATTCTAATCATCTTTTTGTAAGGACAACTGTCACAAACTTGTTGCAATGAGCTGCCGATGGGAAAACCAGGTTGAAATCGTCCGAGTTCTCATGCACATAAAGGAACATCGAGCGATCATCACGTTTTGATGCTGATACAGCTTTGATATTCCCTGCGGTGAAGTGCCAACGATGAATACCTAAAACTGTATAAGAAAACCGGATCGAGATTCTTGGGAAAATCGATATATCGATTATTGAACATGCAGATTTCCTATATTATCCGGAGGTAAGGCATACTTACCAGGTGGTGGTTTCTTTTGTTGACTATTTTCCAACACATGGCTAAGGATCATCGATCGTTCGGTGACGTTTAAAGTGAGATAGGAAGGTGTGAATTGCTGAATCAAATCTATCCTAATCAAACAAAAAAAAAATCAAATTTTAAATTTTGAATAGTGAAGGGGATAGAATATAATAATTTTCTCTAGCTCATACAACCGCAGATAATGTTTAGTTTTTGAATTTCTGGCAATTTTTGGAAGCTTTCATGAGCAAGCAAATGTGAGCAACGGACTGACCGGCAATGATAGGCGAAAGCGAGTGACAGCAAGCAGAGGCAACAAGAAACGGTAAAAATTTTTGAAACAATTTTCAAAAATAAATATGGCCAGACAATTCCCATTATTTTGAATTGTTTCTTTTCTATGATGTGCCATTATTCCGATTTCAGTTTATACTGGCCTTACCTACCTTGGTGAGTTCTTGAATCAACACCGGGAATCTCGCACATGTCACTTCTGTTTCAGAATCGATCGCTTCCATGAAGAACTCCGACCAGAACAAAAATTGTTGCTTTTCCTGGAAAAGCCGATTAATGAATTAGTGGTAGATCAAAGATTCAGAGAAGCAGAATTTATTTATCAGACCTTTTCGATCGGACTAATAGTAGCTGCACAACGATTGATGAGCTTGATGTTCTCCATGGTAGATTTCAGGAACCTTAAAGAAAAGTCTTCATATTATGAAGAAACTTAAAACTGCGCAGATTTCGATTGTATAGCCCTCCTAATTTCTTTGACAAAATATATCTAATTTTCGAGTATAATTATGGAAATCAGAGAGACTTATCTAGAACAATTCTATTTGGGCAGCTATATTGATTGAAATCAATCAATTCTTACCAAACTGGTGGTT